TTTTGCTTACCGTGTACTTTAAGTGGGACCAGGAACCAAAGACTTCTTAGGGCTCTTTGTTTGGTGTTGCCATTTAATTGTTTTGTAAAGGATTCTTCCAAGGGCCAGAGAAAAATGGCCAAGGGAATCCCAGAATGGTTTGGGTTGGAAGAGACCTTAAAGATGTCATTCCATCCCCTGCCATGGGCAGGGACACCTTCCACTATGCCAGCGTGCTCCAAGCCCTGTCCTGAATTTAGGACAAGTGGCCCAGGGCTTTTAAAGCCATGACCACTTGAGAGGGACACTTCACCTGTCCCCACCTCCTGTCTGCCCCTGCTTTTGTGGCCCTGGTTTCCTTACCCCCCCCTCACAAACAGTTTTTCCATGCAACTGGGTCACCTCTGAAAGTCAGCAGAAGTGGAGTTACTTTGTTTAAAATAAAAACATGTATTTCTATCACCTTAGGAGTTGTTTCTCTTTCAGCACAGGGACCCTCTGATCCTCCCACCTCCTTTTATCAGCATCTTCAAAAGAGAAAGGGAGTTATAATTGCTTTTTCCCCTCACCACAGAAGACAGGGAGAGGCTGCTGTTCCCCTCTACTGGCATCCTGAGAAGAAACACGCTTTGAGCAATCAGTTATTTACAGAACAAAAATAACATCTGGATTTCAAAGGGCAGAGCAGTTCAGAAGAATGAGGCTCTCTCCCCCCTCCCCAGCAATGTTTCTGCTGATTCCCACCCACTACCTGCACACCTCCTGCTCTGCCTCTCTCCTCATCCCAGGGGCTTCTCCCTCTCTCTGAGCATCGTTTGCCTTTGCCACAGAATCCCAGAGTGGTTTGGAGTGGAAGGGACCTTGAAGATCATCCAGTTCCACCCCCTTCCACGGGCAGGGACAGCTCCCACTATCCCAGGCTGCTCCAAGCCCTGGCCTTGGACACTTCCAGGGATCCAGGGGCAGCCACAGCTTCTAAGGAGGGAGCAGAAAAATGTGAAGAAACCAGTAGTTCCACAGTAGCTCCTTCCACAGTCGTTCCTTCTTTCAGCTCTTTGATTTTCGCTTTATTTTCTTGTTCCTGACTCAGCAGAATCCTCTTGAGTCCTGGCACACAAAGCATCTCTCCCACACACAAACCCATCCCATTCCAGAGATGGGAAAGCTGAATTTTCTGTCACATTAAGCCCTTCATTGCTTTAAAGCTGATGAATTGGTGTCTTCAGAGCCATTACCAAAGGTGGCTGAAATTCCCCAATAAAAGCCCACAAGCTCTTAGTAGGGACAGACTGATTAACAGGCTTGTTCTCATAAAGGCTAAAAATCCACCTGCAAACTGCCACATCCCCACTCCTCCCTGCCAGGCAGCTGGAAAGGCACCTTTGGGATGTGTTACATCTCACTTCACCACTTCAACACACAAGTTTTGCAGGAAAAGCCTCCACAAGTCCCTGAAAATAAAGAGCAAGCTTGTTAAAGCCACAAAGAGATTCCATCATAGCCTCCTGCAATCCCCTGCTCGGGTAACTAAATTCCTACACATGTATTTATAAAATTGTTTGAATTGGCCACAGGGATCACTGAAGGTGCCTGCAAAAATGAAATGATTGATCAAACTTTGTTTCTCATATAATCAATAAATTCCAAACACTGAATGAAGACAATCATTACAAAAAAAAAGCCATTTATTAGATATATGTACATATATACATGCAAAATGATTTTATACACATTTACACAGGTTCAATTATTAATACAGTGCAAAAATGTCTAAAAAGGTACCAGCCCACCTTCTACAAACTCAACAGGTCTTTGGGAGAAAGGGAAAAAAACCCAAAAAATCCAGAGAATTACCAGCTTCATAAAGTGACTAAGCACTGCAAATCTGGAAATTATTGAAGTTTATTCTTTGCCAATTTGCTTGTGCTGAGCTGCTGGGAGAGGAAAAGAGTTTCCAAAAGACTTATCTTGCAAAGTGACAGAATGAAGAAGATGCAATTCAAACCACATTAACCAGTTTAAAGTTGAACAAAAAGGGATGGATTCCTCTTTGGGGATTTGATTCAATACAGGAAAAATCCCAGGTTATGAGTCAGATTTTGTGTTCTCAAACTGCAAGTCATTCTTTTTTATTAAATCTTAAAGAACTGAGATCAATGTAAACTATTCTATTCCTCTTGCTGTTTTGCCAGGAGAAAATGTTTAACTGTATAAATACCGTGTGGCTATGAAATAAATAGCAAATTAAAAATAATAGGTCAAACTCCGTGTGCTCTGCCTCATCCTGGAATGCCAACCCAAACCTACAAAGTGCACACAGACTAATCCATGTAGATTCCTTAATATGATTTACACATATTACAGGAAAATAAAAAAGTTGCAAAGGGATTAAGTCCAACACCAAAACAGCTTTGTCATTTTTGTCATTGGGTAGAAAATATCTGAAGATTCAGTCACATCTCCCAAAAATCCACAAAGCAAAAAAACCAGAAGTTTAGGTAAAGGCAGAACTGAACCAGCTGATTTGGTTTGATTTTACTGGAACATTTTTAGGAAAAGCAATTCAAGAAAAGCTGAATTTAACTTTTCTCCTCTCTCTGCTAATTGCACAATTACACAAACACCCTGTTCTACCCCTTGTTTGCAGAGCTGTGGCTGCCATCCCCTGGCTCAGGGATGGATCTGTTTCAGGACAGAGCAGTTGGATGCTCGGGAAGCATCAGGAATGTCACAATTTTTCCAATCAGCTCCCTACAAGGCTGAGGAATGCCCAGCTGTAAATGCTCTGTGTGCCTCAGACCAGAGCAGGGCAGGCTTTGGCCAAGCCCAGGAGAAACAGGAAAAGCTCTCCTGGACTCTTTAGCCAGAGGGAGGATAAAAAGGCAGGAGCAGGGAGTTGACTTCAGTCCTCAAGTCCTTCTCATGAAGTTTGGTCTGTCTGTAGTATAAAACACTTCAACCTTTTCCCACAGGAATCCAGTGGGTTGATACCAAATTTATGCTCCTGGAAAACACCACCAGCCATCAGATCCATTATCCTTAAAGTGTTTCATTTCTAGTGTCAGATTTTTGGGGTGTTCTTTTTTCAGATTTTAACTTGTAATCCAAACTCGTGGCTGAGTTCCCTACAGTCTCCAGAAGTAATTTACCAAGGAAAACTGGGACTGAACAGTAGGAAAATTAAGAGTAGTACAAAACTCCTCTCATCTGTGGGGTCATCTTGGTGTCTCAGGGACAGTGGTTGAATTGTGGCTTCATTTCTGCACTTGCACTCTGACAGAAAACTGGGATAATGACAGACAAACAACTTTAATCCACTCCCTTATAACAGAAAACCTTTCCCTTATGGCACACAGCTCGAGCTGTGTCCTTAAATGCCTGGCTAAAATATTCCTCCATCATTCCTACCAGACTATTCCTCAGTTTGGAGGTTTTTATCACGTTGCTGTTACAGTAAGTGCAGGGAAAAAGAAATCCCTACGTTTTCCTCCTGAGAAAAGCTCTGGCACTAAGTCTCCTGATGTCCTAGGAACTGTCCAGGTTGTAATGGGCTGCCCATGGATGCTGTTGCTGCAGTCAGCTGCATCCAGAAGTGCTGCCAAGGTACAGCACCACACATTTCAGGTCTGATTGCATCCTGAGATTCCAGGAAAACTCACTGAGATAAAAGGAATTTTGTGAAGTGTTCCTGCAAAAAAGACAACTCTGCTGCACGTTAATCCCTTTGCAACCAGAGGTAGAGACTATGTGAGAGGAAAAACAAATCTTTGGTGATAGAAATGGGGATGAGCAGAAAGAAAAAAAATGAAAGGAAATTTTAGGACCGTAATTCCACAATAACACACCTACAGTTCTCTACATCTCAGTTTGAATCTCTGCAAGCCCTCAAGGACAGCTGCATCAAACTGCTATGGATTTTTTTTAACAGCCAGCCTAAACTATTCATCTATGCCCTAAAATGCCCCTGTGCACCTCGATCCATGACAGAGCAGAACTCCCAGTGCAGCAGAGGTTGGGAATTCCAGCCCTGCAGTCCCCTGCTCCAAAGTGCACACTCAGAAACTCAGCTCAGTGTAAGAAGTCACCACCATGAACCACAGGTGTTTTACAGAACAAAGAGAACCTGCTTGTGCTTCCCATTCCTGGCTTTCTACTCACCAGCTACTCATTTTTTTAAAAAAAGGTGAGGGAGTCAGTGGCCTGTCATAAACAGGCTTGGAAGATTTATTATCCATACAGGCCAAGCAAACATGGAATTGCCCTTATCCTAAAAGTGACCTTAGCCAAGGAAACAAAGGCCACAAGAGCTGACAGATCACTTACACCCACCTGGATTATTTTCTGCTGCCCCAAGCATATTTGCAATTAACCCATGAGCACACACTTAACTGCAATGTGCTGTTCAGCCAAGGAGATATTTATAGACTTTATGGTTTATAAAAGAGCCACAGCCTTTTCCTGTCCTTCCAAACCTAGAAAAATGACCCTGAAGCTCACCCTCAGCATTTTTCCCTCTGATACCACACTCACCTAATTAGAGCAAACAACCTCTTTACTCACATTTACCGAGAATCTTAACAAATTCTAGAGACAAAAATGTGATCCCTCGCTTTACCTTTGTTTTACAGCACAATCTGAGTATTTGCAGCAGCAGGGCAAGACTGACCAGCCAAACTGTCACAGAGCCAGCGAGACAAATGGCAAAATGCTGTCTGGATGGTGGCAGCCAAGGAGGAAAAGCCTGCTGATGGTAAGAACTTCCACCTGTTGGTAACACCTGACAAGCTCTACCATGCACCATGTGAAACACAGCTGCACCCTTTGCTGTGTGTTGGACATAATTACAGTCTCCTGCTTATCCCAAGTTGCTTGGAACTGTTCTCTTTGCAATAACCATTACCATGGATGGTTAAAAAACACTCTGAGCTATTTTTGGCCAGGTGAATTAAAAAAAAAAAAAAAAAAAAAAAAAAAAAAAAAAAAAAAAAAAAAAAAAAAAAAAAAAAAAAAAAAAAAAAAAAAAAAAAAAAAAAAAAAAAGTTGTAAAAACAGAGTAGCAAACCCCAAGTTTTTTTTCATACACCACAGTCAGGCTGCTTCTCCAGGAGCTGCCTTGTCAGGATCTGGTAGGAGGAAAGAGAAGCCACTCCTATGTGGAAGGAGATTTGCCAGAGGTTCCGTAATCCATACAAGTAGATGTTGCATGAACAGACACAGAAAAGGAGCACAAATGTCTTCACCTTCCTGGCTGAGCTGTAGAAGAGGTACAGGTAACACTGCAGAAGGAGCAGAGAGGGAGAGTTAGCACTGAACTCTGCACAAAACCAGGGATCCAGCTGGGAATTGTTGCCTGGGACAGCTGGAACCCATCTACTGAGCCTGTGAAGAGCAAAACCCTCACAGGAGAAAATGCAAAGCTGCCAGAGGAGTCACTTTTTCCCTTCAGGCAGTGACAGATCAGCCTCTCCCACCTCAGGTCACGATTTCCAGCTGTGCTGATGCCACAGGCAGAGGTCAGCACGTGGAAAGCACTGCAGGTTGTGCACAGGCACTTTGGGAAGAAGCTGCTATAAATCAAAAGGAGAAGAGAGAACTTCCCTTCATTCACCTTCCCTGCCTTCAGGTACTCACAGGGAAAGAAGCAGCAGAGCCTTTCTTTGTGAAAAACAACTTGTATCAAGTATTTAAATCTAAATTAATCTATTAGATCTAAATTCATCTATTCACCTCAAAGCTCTGTCATGAGCAAAGGTAAAAAGGCTGAAAGACACTAAATTTTATCATAATTCAATAAATAATCCCATAAATACATTGAAGTCTGCAGATAGTGGTCCCCAAACCATTATCCAAAAGCAAGCAGGGCAGTGAATACACTGTAGGTATCAGTTACTCCTAGAAACAAAACTGCAGCACCTTCCTGCAATGCCAGGCTAAAAGTCAAAGATTTTCCAGCATATATTACCCTCAAGTTAAAGGCTGTGGAATTTTTTTAGGAATTCAATGAGCCTTTCAAGAAAAAACAATTTGGAGCATGTTGTATTTTCTTCATTCAATCTCTTCTGTGTAAGTTCAGAGAGAATAACCCCATTATGGGGAAAAAAAAACTAAGGAACCATGAGAATTTTTCATGTAAATGACACCATTTTCAATAATGTTGCTGTGCAATCTTTGCACATGGTCATGCCCCAAAAGCCCATCACTAAGTCTGACATTGACAGGAAGACGTGGTCTCCCTCCCTCCATTTGGGAAGAAACCATTTTTGGGATGGCATTTATGCACCACACCCAGCCCCCTCTGACTTGACAGAACATGGAAGCACTAAAAAAGCCTGCAAATGCAATTTTCCAAGGGTCAAAATGTGCCTTGAACTGTTTTTGTGCCACTTCACTGGAATAAATCAGTGGAATCACCTAGGTAGGATACTAAAAACCTCTGTTTAGCCAAAAATGGCTCTGTCTTGTGAATTAAGACATCAAAATAATCAGCAAAAAAAAATTTATTTGCAGTTAACATACCTGAAAAACACAGGCTAGAAAAGGTAGAAAAAAAGCTATCACATTTCCAATTCCTTCGTGGTCCTCCTGTTGGGATTAAAAGAAGTGACAACTACGTCAGGCACAGCTTTTAGCAAGTGCTGCTTGATATTTGAGAACATTATAAATATAGTCAAGAACCTCTTATCCCAGTTTATGTTGATTGACTGTAACAGTGTTAAACACCAAGATCAATATCATTGGATAAGACATCAAGAATTTGAGGCTTATGTGACAGTTCCTGCTAAATAAAACCATCAGGATACAATCAGGACACTTTTTTTTCTTTTTTTTCCTTTTTTAAAGTTGTTTACAGTCTCATGTTTATTTAAAAAAAGTTACAGAAAAGGATCTAAAATAAAATACAAGAATGGAGAAAAAGAAACCAGGCAGCCTGGTAAGAATAAAACATTTCTCAAAATTTAAACTTCTCTAGAAGAGAATAAAACGCAGAATATTGTGATGTACAGCAAAATACACAAAGTGCAGCAGGTGAGAAAACAACTGCACATTCCCTGGAGAAACAAAACACTTCTTGTGGAAAGATGTGCGCTCAGCTAAGGGGCAGGAGAGCCACCCTTAAACCGGTCACCCAAAAACTCTCTGCTTTTCACTCATTCTCAGGTTTGAGTGCAGTCAGGGTTACCTGAAAGGAATATTCTGCCAGGTGAACTCCTCGGATCAGGTTCAGAGCTCCACACATGATGTTCAGAACAAGTGACAGAATCCCCAGGGGCGTCACAGGCTGCATTCTGTATGTAGGGACTTGAAATGAAAACCAGATATTAGTGAAAGTTTGCACTATTACTTTCAATCTTTTAACAGAAAACACCACAATTACCTTATGTGGGTTTTAAACACTTTCAAAACCTTTCTTGCTTGCTCCAGGGAAGATTGATTATGAACAGAAAACCCTTTTTTTTGTTGTTGTTGCATTTTGTTGTTGCATTGCAGTATTCAGTTCTTCACACATCCAGAAATCATCAAGAGCTCTGGAGTATTTTTAAACAGGTGAGCAACAGACTTTTTCTTGACCTATTTGGCATCAATGTCTTCTCCTATGGTGCACACAGATCATTTTTTGTTCATTCCAGCAGATGAGGATGCTCACACTCCTCACAGGTCAGCAGAAAAGCCAGAGGCTTTCACCACCCAAAGGTCTGGGGAAGGGCTTAGATTTCAGCCACCCATCACAGCAAGGCAGCAATCCATCTCCTCCTTAACCAGTAATTAAGTATTTCTTCCCACTGGCAGTTTGAGGGCTCAGGCTGCCCACATTTCACAGGTAGTGAATTATCTGCCTCCTTCCTTTCTCACCTTCTCTGCTACTACTTAACACCCACACTGCTGAACAGCAATTCTGCATGATAATCTCATTGATACATCCCTAATTAAGGTCAAAGTAATTACCATAAATGTGTGTTTAGCTTTGGAATCTGCTGCCTTTAATTCAGGCTTGTCCAAGAGCCCACCTCCAGTTTTCCCTTGCTTGTTCAACAACAAATTCCACACCTCGATCCTCACCTACATTTCATCCCTGCCCTTGGATCACCACAAGTAGGATGCTGTCAGTTTAATAAGAAATGATAATTTGTAGCTTAGATACCAAATCCAAATCTTCTTCTGCACTAATGTCCCCAGGACACAGGAGAGAATGAAGGAACCCTCAAGAAAACCATCCAGCCCTCAGAATCTTCTCCCTGTTTCCAGGTGGATCCAGATTATTTATTACAGACAAACTGCACCTCTGGCTTCCTTCTGAATGACAGATGAAACACCACAACAGTCACCCCATGGTTTCAGAGAGGAAAACTCTCCTGCCTTCTCCTTCAAGCCAGATTTTGATAGATGGATGTAAAAAACTCTGGTGGCAAATTAATATAGGGATGTAAAGCACCTTTCATCCGTGGCTCTGTAATTAATTTGTCTGGCATGCACTCACACATCCATAATTTCAGCTCCAAAGCAACTGCAGAAGGAACTGTATCAACTCCATTTGATATGTGTCACTTTAGGGAGTATGGTGTGAGTTACTCTGTCACTCAAAGGCACTTTGGCTTTTCTTTTGCTACACAGTGACATTTAAAATGAACTTGTAGCAGCATCTTTATTCGTTCCCTGACCCCAGAATTCAGTTTCCTTCTATTTTTTTCCTGCTATTCCTACTTCCTACTTTTGATTAATTAAATAATGTTGCAGCTACATATACGTGTAACTCCCCCACAGATAATTCCTAATAGAGACTGTTGTTCTTCCTCAAATTCTAAGGTTTACTTCAGAGGTATAAAATGTCTCTCAAACAAATTATAATTATCAAGCACAAGTGTCATTCATTGAGCAAGATCCTGCAAACTACGTGTGCCAAGAGCTCCCAGTCCCTAGGGAAGAACAACGTAGATCTCAATATATGGCTTCTGCAGCATGAAATATTATGTAAAAGCTACATTTTTTTAATCCAGGAGGATAAAAAGAATTGCTGCCACAGAGGCAGGGGAGATTAAAACATCCAGTTGCTCAGGGCTCAGATTCCATGAAAACTGGTCTTGAAATGGTTTGCTGCAGAGATTTATTTCTGCTGTTAAATTCTGAGGTTTAACTCACAAACTGAAATTGCACAGAGAAGTGAGATGGGTCCTGCTAAGAGAAAATAATATTTCACTTCCTTGGGTGAAGTCAGTCATATTTTTATAAAGAGATTTTCATACTGGAATAGCCTATTACATTAAATAAGGGAAGAGTACAAACAGTCAAGTGACAGCACAACTCTGCACAAACACAAACAAACACTAATTAGGCTTCACATTGATTTGACTCCTCAAGCACCGAAGTTGTGCACTTCAGAGCACAAGATCCACACAGAAATGTTCTGGGAGCTGTGGGTGATGCACCAGCAGGTTTGAACAAGCACAGAGTAACTGCAAACACCCTCACACAGTGAAGAAATTGAAACCTCTGCCCATAAAAGATTTTCTGGCAGAGACCTGTGGCCATTTCACTGGAGGGAGACACCAGAGTGTGCAGCAGCTTGGATCTGCCTCCTGCAGGCACAGCACAAGGTTGGACACTGAGTCACTCGCTCAAAGCTCTGCAGAAAGAGAGCCAGGAGTGAGAAATGAAATCACACTCCAACAGCCTCAACTAAAATACAAGCACACAAAAGGCAGAGAGCGAGACAGCTTCAAAAACAACCCCTTGAAAAGGCTTCTGAAGGACTCCCTGTGTGCCTATGGAAGATGAAGAGCACTCATGGAGGGGAGAGCTGCAGGATTCACCAGCTCGCCCACAAGATGAGTGGCACAAGTTGTTCTGCTGCTTCCCAGAGCCAGCTGTGATGTGCAAACTCTCTGTGCACAGAAAGCTCCTCAGAGCTGCCCTGTGCCCTGCACACAGCCCCAGTGTCCTCTGGAGCAGCAGCAGCTGTGCCCACACTGACGGGAGCCAGGCTCTGAGCAGCAGCCAGGGCTGTGTGGGTGTTGATCAAGGGTACGAGGGAAGGGTTTCTGCAGCAGGAGTCGGGCTGGGTTTAGTTAACAAAGGAAAGAACACACAGCAGAAAGAATGGAAGCAAGAAAGGAAAAATCTCTTGTTCTCACAAATACTAACAAGGACAAAGCTGCCTTGACTTTTCTGGCCCTTTTCACACCAAACTGAAGAGCCAGAGGATGAGCTCACCCGGCTCCAGAGAGGCCAGGAGCAGCTCCAGCCGTGTGAGGAGAGGGATGTTTGGATCATCCCTGCATCGATCAATCTGCACCAGGGAGTGCAGTCACAATTCAATCCTGCTCTCCTGCAGCCACAGCGTTTCAAACAGCCTCTTGTAGAGCAGAGCCATCGTATAAATAACATTAACATGGAACAAACACTGTGCACACAGCTAAACTTAGAGCAGCAAAGTGCGATTCAACTGGGAGGGAATGATGAGAGGAGAGAGACACAAGCCAGGAAAGCTGACTCCAGTGGAGGCAAACAGATGATCATAAACATGATCCTTAAAATAAAGGCAGAACAATCTGTGAGAGTATTTGGGTTAGACCAGAGAGAACAGCCAGAAATAAAAAGCCAGATGGAAAGTAAAGGAAAGCAATTACGAATAAGAGGGAAGTGAAAATGTATTTCTGATCTGTGGACACAGACTAGATCACAAATATTTACTGGCACTGAAGCTGTTCAAAATTTAAAGAAAAAGTGCAAAGAATTTCTAAGCCCTGTCATAACATGAAAAGATTTAACCTTCAAGCACAATTCTGAGGAGCACTCACAAATCTGACTGGCAAATAAAGTGGTTTCCATTCTATTTTTAATTCCTCCTGGCCAGTGCCCTTCCATACTCTAATTTAAAATACCTATGTCAAATTAGATTCCAGCTCATCTATCACAAACAATTAGATTGAACAACTGGAACTTAATTTTATTAGTGTTTCATAAGCCAAGAACAACAACAAAAAAAAAGGAAATACAAGCTCATGGAACTCCAAGCTGCATTTAAACCACCGTGCTAATAGGATTAAAATAGAGTATGGTTTAGTGGTGGACTTGGCAGGGTTTGGTTTCTGCTTGGACTCAATGATCTGAAAGGTTTTCTCCAACCTAAATAATTCTGATTTCATTTGTGGAGGAGGTAGGCAGGACCTTGACTGTGCAACTGAAACACAAGTGAGAGGTACCATTTTTATTATAAAGTAGTAGAAGTTGGTACTTCAAAAGCAGGTAAAATGTCAGTTTTTGTTATAAAAAAGGCCCCTGTCAAGCCTCTGTGTTTTTCATACAGATACACAAATCCTCTTTCAGAATTTTAGTCAAATTTTAGTTACATTTAAAAAAAAAAATAAGGTAAAAGGAGAAAGCAAAGAGGGGAGAACAACTCATGTCAGACAATGTGGGAACAAGTTTTACCCTCAGCTTGCATTTTTCTCATATTTGTTTCCCTCTAGGCTGAAGAAACTCATTCAGACTGTAATTACAGATCTTTCATTAAGAGTCTGCAACAAGCAATGAATCAGTGGAGCTGCTTTAGAAATTTGAACAAGCAAGGATTTTAAGAGAAGAGAATTCCACGTGGAAAATATCAAGCCCAGCCTATATTTTCCATACAGAGAGGAAGATGTAAGGCTGGAAAAAGACCCCCCCAGCAGTCTCCAAAGCCCTGCTGCATACCTGCTGCAATGTAAAGCCCATATGTTGTTTACTATGATGGAAAAAGCCTTTTTTTTGGTTTCACACACACCACGTAAATAAACATTTCTCGGTACACAAGGAAGCCCCACGTGTTTTTCTGCCACGTGCAGGGTGAGGAACTCTCCTGTCACCTCGTGTAGAAGCAACTTACCAACCTCCACATGTCCTCCTGCGTGCCCTCCATTGCTGAGCCCGTTCAGCAGCTCTGTGGCCTCCAGCTGCAGCTGCACTGGGGGCTGCAGCTTCAGCTCCTCCTCCACCCTCTCCCAGCTGCCCCTGGCCCGGGAGCCACGGGTGCTGTTGAAATGGTGTTTCACCTTCTGAATGATGTTATCTGAAACAACAGGAAAAGCTGCTCAAATCTCCTCTGAAAAACTGCCTAATTCATCCTTAAGTGTTACTGAAACCTTAATTATGGTGGTATCTTATCCTATCACGGCGTTCTGTTTGATTGTATTAATTTCTTTGTTTTGTTTCTTACTGGTTTCAGGCATAAAATTCCACTGCTGGGTAGGGAACAAAAATACTTCTTTTAGGTATTTCATAGCACAGAAATGTTTGGGATGGAAGGGACTTTAGGGTCCTTAAGTGCTACCCCTATGCTCTGGAACCTTCCATTGTTCCAGGCTGCTCCAAGCCCTGTCCAATCTGGCCTTGGACACTTCCAGAGATCCAGGAGCAGCCACAGCTTCTCTGGATCTGGGTAACTGCACCTCCCCACCCTCACAGGAAAGAATTTCTTCTAATATCTAGTCTAAATAATAATAAAAATTATCTGTAACTACTGAACAAAATATTAAAATCTTAAGCATCAAGTGCATCTTAGATCCAAACACAGGACAGAAGATGATTAAATTAATAAATAAATAACCACACAGCAATATTAGGCACTCAGTAACTTAATAAAGTATAATAGTAAAAATTATTTTAGAGATGTATTTTTTCTTTAAAAAAATAAGATTTATGCGATTAAAAGAGGCCTGAAATTCCCCAACTCCTACTCAAGTTAAAAAAAGCAAGAAAAGGAGTAATGTGGATCTGAATATGAAATTACATCCTGGCTGTGCCCTGCAGGGAATCTACCCAAAAATCCAAGATGGGTCTGAAAGAAGCTTTCCTGATGGATTTCTCAAGTTTTTAAGCCCAAGTTTAACACTGTTACTGAAATCTGGACTGAAGTGTGCAAACATGCTGCAGCATATTATCCTTTTCCAGAAAACTCTCACTGCAAGGGAATTGTGTCTTTCAAAGGTGTGAGGTTCAGTAGAGCAGCCACCACTTGGCAAGAAAACCAATTATTTCAGGTTAAAAAAAACCACTGGGCATGGTTCTGAAGTATTCTGACTCCAAGTCATGCCAGAAATAAAGCTGCCCATAATAATCTATTCTGTCTCCCCTTTTTCCTGTACTCATCTGTCTCCACTCATCAGATTTTTTAAATTAAGCTAGAAAGTGTCTGAGGTATCAATTTCTTTTTTCTTCTCTGCTTGTTCATCAATCACCAGAGCATTTTGTTCATAATAGATGAACTCTCAGGAACTCCAAATACTCAAATAGTTTAGAGCATTAAGATCCTCACTCCTCCTCCACATGCAGGCAAAGGCACACCCCAAGTCACTTTCATCATCAGCCTCTGACCAGGAAATGTTAACACCATAAACTTGGCAGAGAGAGGATTTTTACTATTAGACAACAAAGTTACAAACCAAATTCAATAAATGCATATGGTCTGGAAGCTGAATTGATGCTCCTCGTGTTGTAGGAAGCAGCAAATTCCCACCGAAGCTCTTCCAGGAAGCAGAAGGCCATGATGGTTGAGTAGCTGCTGGAACAGATTGCCATGCAGGCAATATCCCCAGAAGAAAGGAAACTGAAATAGAAATTTTAAACAATCACATCAACACAAAAAGGTGAAAGTCCTGCTGAATGTGAGGATGAAGCTGTGCTTTCTGTCAGAACAAAATGTACAGACTGAGCTGAGAGCAGACTGCAAAAAAAGAGATTTTTGTTGTTGTCAAAGTCCTGCAGTTCCTGTAGATCTATTTTTTCTTATACAATTATTTATTCTTAACTCATCCAGGATGCTGAGCACAGTGAAGAGCATAACACAGACTTTATTAAATTGGTACATCAGTACAAATCGAGGACATTCTTTTCCCAGGCTGGCTTTAAATCACATTAATAAAAACCAAGGTGGTCAGAAAACCAATTTTGAAAGAAAATGCAGAAAAGAAGTAAAAGCAAGGAAGTTTGCTCCCAGGAAGCAGATTGATTCCTTGCTTCCCTTAAACATGGCAACATCATATAACCAGCAAGAAATATCTGCTAATTTGCACAGCCCAAGATTTTCAAACACTTCCTGCTACATCACAATAGAAATTCTACTCTAAAAGGGACTCCTCTAACACTGAATCCATATTTATGTAAAAGTTTCCACTTGCAGATGGTCCAAACCTCCCAGGAGATTTCTCAGGGATATCTTCCCTTGCAGCCCATCCATTTGTCAGCAGGAAATCAGTTTAACACCCAAGCTTTGAAACTGAACAATTTGTCTCTTTCCTACCATTCCTATATTTTATCCCAGCTTCATCTCACACTCATGGCTTCTATTTCATTTCATTTTCATTTCATTTTTATTTATTTGCTGCACAGTGGATTTGGGATTTACAGTTTTGCTTGGCTCTGCCAGCCCCAGTTCCACTGGGGAGCTTCCCCAAATTCCTGCTGCTCCCAGCTCCCAGCTGGGATCAACACCATGCCTGCCTAACACCACCTTTTCCAAGCTGTCCATAATTTATGGCCTTTCTGCCACGGATCCATTTGCACTGCTCTCATTCCAGAGCCAGGGCTGAGCTGCTGCACACACCACAGCAGATGAAAAAGCAGCAGGACTTGTTGGCATCAAAGGGCACAAGTTTGCTTTGAGTGAAAAGGAATTGAGATGAAAATCTCTGCTTTTCCAACTGTTTCAGTGTAAATTCTTGTAATTTTTAACTCCCCCAAAAAGGGATGCTTAGTTTTAGCTTAGGGTCACTTTAAGTTTTCTCCCATTTGCTCACCAGAAATACAACCACAAGCTAAAATTCACTTCTTAAATGAGTTTTAAACAAGTTTCTTCATTTATTTCTCTGTAATTTCTTTAATAAATTTCTTCTCCTAAACTAAAACATTCCAAGGCATTTGGATGCCTTCTTAAAGGGATTTGTAGATATCTGTGATACTCCAGTTACTGAGAGTAACAAGCACTGCCCATTGAGCAGGAGGCTTTTTGCTACACAAAGTGAAAATTAAAATGAGCCAAATACCCATAAGAAAAATATATATAATTATATAACTAAATATGTATAAATATTGTGAATGTATGTAAATATGTAACTTAATAGATATAAATACCATGTATGTATATGGAAATATTTATATGAAAGTATTTATATGGAAGTATTTATATACGTATATATATAAATATAAGTGTAAAATAAAATCTGTGCAAATATAATATAAAATTAATAACAGTTATGTGAGTATACTTGTATAAAGTAACATACAAAATATATGAACATATAAAAATATATACATAATATATATAATATATAATATATAATATATAATAGATAATATATAATAGATATTTATAATATATTATGTAATAGATAATAGATAATAGATAATTATAATATATTATGTAATAGATAATAGATAATAGATAATAGATAATGCATATTTTTATATCATATATAATACATAATATAATTTTATGTATAATAAAATATATTAAAGACATACATGTATAAATTATATGTAAATATATAAATATATAAAATATATTAATTTATATTAGTTATATATTAATATATAATATAGAAATTATAATATAATATAATATAATATAATGTAGTGTAATGTAATGTAATTAATATAATATAATATATTATATAAAAATTATAAATTATATATTATAGAAATATCAGTATATAAATATATATGAATATATACAAATATAGACAAATATAAAACTAAGCACATTCTCACTACACTGAGCAGGAACTGAGGAATAAAGCTTCAAAATCATTGGTGTTCACAGCCTAGACAAGCACTGTGGGATTTCAGACTGGAATTAGGCACTGCAGACCACACCCAGGGCATTATTTCAATAGAATACTAATCCCCAAGAGCATTATTTCAAAAATTAAAGCAAAAAACACTCCAGCAGAGCAGAGCAGGGACTCACTGAATGCTCAGGTTACGTCCTTTCGCCGTGCCCCGGCTGGGATACCGCGCCAGGATCGAGGATAACGCCTTCAATCTCTTCCTGCATTCCAGAAAGTCCTGGTTGAGATGGAAATCTGTGGAGGCTGAGAGGGGAAGCCCATCCCTCACCCGCACCACACAGGCAAAGAAGATCATGGACATTCTCCACGGGAGTATTCATGAGGACAACCTGCAAATGAAAGATTTAAGTTGGCTGGTTCCAAAATTCCATGCAGGAATGTGTGAGGATGAGGCTCAATTCACCACTGGAACTGAACAGCACATCTGGTGACACCTCTGCTATTGCAAAGCAACCAAACTCTTCTCAAAGCTCATGGCTGTGCCAAATTCTTACCTCTCAGATCAAAATATGAGGCAGGGGATTTGACAGAGGAATTATCTACCTGAAAAATATTCCTCTTTTCTCTCCTGCTTTGTCCAAACAATCAGAAATGCTGAGTGAAGTTCTGACAGGTGTTTGTGGAAGCTCCTGAGCCACACTGATGTGGTGCATCTCCACTGGAGCTCCTAAAAGCTGCCTGAGCATGGCACTTCTCTATTTTCTAGAGTAACACACAAATCCAAAAATAAGTTTTAGGCTAGAGCCTGTCAAGTTCTTTTTACAGACTCACCTAGGGCTAAATATAGACTAAAAGTTGCCCTCTCTTGACTTCTTCCTCTTTAGGAGGTCACAAACTCCCGTGGAAAGTTATTCTTGGGCTTCACCTGGCATATCCAGAACATACAGAGATGTGTCCTTCAGACATACCATGAGGATCCAGGGCACGGTGTCAGAGGATTAACAGCACTTCATATCATCTCTGAAAGAGAATCAGAATGAAATCATTAAAAATTAGTTTAAAAAGCTAATTAATTACCTGTATTTACATGTGTATTTACCATCAGATCTCCTGTGAAGCAAGGAAAACATATTCTAGGAAGTGCTTTGCCTGAAGGAAAACAAACAACTCATTTCCTTATCCAATGTATTCATTTCTAGACTCAAAGATGCTGTGGAATGATATGAAAAATATTTATCATGTCCCAATCAGAATTTTTTTAAAGTTGTATCAGTAAAAAGAACAGCTCTAAATCAGCAGATTTTAAGGGATTACCACAAACAACTCAAGGAATAAAAAGACGGAAAAAAGGAAAACCAAAGACATGTACTTGGCTTCAGGCAAACAACATAAATAAAGCATTGGGGAAATAAAAAGAAGGAAAAAAATCCCACACTTTGTGAACTCAAACTTTTGATAGAGAGAACTGCTTTGACCAGCCCTGTATCACACAATTCATTAGGATGCTCAAAGTGTCTTTGAAATGTGCCTCATCAGGACAAGCTTTTCTTGTCTGAGAAGTCCAGAGAGCAAAACCTTTTCCAATTCAGGCACCCCAAACTCTCCTGATGTCTGATAAGGGCTGCGTTCTTGCCACAGGCAGCACTAAGAGGGTCTCATTTCTACCCCACAGGAATCATTCCCACAGAAATTGTGGGAACCATCCCTCTGCCCATCCCTTTAAAGTGCCAGCACTTTAAAGCAACTGCAATTATCAGAGGATAATTATCAGAGGAATTAGCAGAATGCACAATGAAGGCACAAAACTTGTTTCCTTAGAAAAGCAGATTAAAACTACAGAAGATCAGACATCTCTTGAGAAGTGTTGTCTTGAACTTTTCAAATGGAGATTAAAGAATTAGATGTGATTTTTTTTCCACAATCCCTCTCACAGTTCTCCTCCAGCTGTCATTTAAGTTGTAAAAGCAAACTAAGCTCACCAACTTCAACACACATCAAGAAGAATTTCAACAATAATCGTGATTATTATAAATCAGTTTGAAACTTCCCATCAATCTTCAATGTGCTCATAGCCATTGATAAAACAGTGCAGAAAACTTTTACATGAAAGTGAAATAAACCAAAACAAAAAAGAACTTTAACAGAAATATTAACTTTTACACAGCCAACTTCTAAGCACAGTTGCTCAGAATTGCAGTTTTAGAATGAAGGGTTGGTAATATTGATGAAGTTTAGCTCCAAAATAATTCCAGGACAGCCAGAAGATGATCAGGACAACAAGAAAGAAACAAACTGAAAAATCAAAGACATTTTCTAAAACCTACCCAGCCCATTAAATTATTCAGCTCCCTATGCCACTAAGAGCAAGAGTTTAAATGTAAGTATCTATATTTTGTATTAATCACCAAGGATAACATCACGTACAGTTAACCAACTGCACATATGAAGTTTTCCAACTTTCCAAGACATACAAACCTTCCTGCTGCAGCAACCAATGCTGTCACTGAGTATCAGCTGCCCATCAGAGGGATCCTTTGGTCTGGGAAAGAAAGATCAGGTGTCCACCAGGAAAACTTCCCAATTAAATGCCAGACTTCACTGGAGAAACGAGTCCTTTGGTTTTCCCTTTGGCACAGCCCTTGCTACTTTCCCCATCAGATGATGTTCAGGGCTGTGTTGCTTTGGCAAGTGACAGCCACCAACGGCACTGCCCTTGGAATTTTAACTACTTGCAAGCCAGTTTTGCCACGTCACCTGTGTCCAAGCACAAAGTATCACAGCTTGCTGGGCTGATCAAGGTGTCCACATAAGGAGGTGGCTCGATGCTGTCACTGTGTCACACTGGCTGCCCTTTCCTCCTGCAGTCTGTCTGGCTGCACACCATCAGCAGCCCAAAGATCTGCAAGCGCCTGTACGTGGCAGCTCTTTGACCTTGGCTCTGAACTTGGACAATGAACTCAAGGCTTTGGATTCAAATCTTGCAGGGTTCACAACTGATAACATCATGTCAGCATCAGAACACCCGTTCTGGCATAAAGCAGAACCATGGGAAGTATTTCAAGCAATTGTTTCAGAAGAACAAGTTATAATTTATGACTAAAAGAAACAAAGCCATGTTTTCATTTCTTGAAGCACCTGTACATTCAGCAATGCTTCAGAATAAAACTGCCTAGTGCAAGACTCGCATTAACAGCACCAATCTCAGAATAAACAATTCTTCAGTGTATCTAAGCCACCTGGAGCACAATTCCCCCTTCCCTCACTTCCTAGGGAGCAGCCAACTCTCCAGTGGCTGTGTAGGGATTATCAAGGCAGCCTCAATCAGACCTCCTGCACTTTACCGCGTGTTACGCAAGCTCCTCTGGCTAAGAAGATTACACCCAACTCACCAGGCCACACTTCCCCAAATGCTCAACAAACTCCTGCTTTATTGCCTGGACTTAGAAAACAATCTGCTCAAAAGGCCATGAAAGCAAATGCAAACCAGTGCAGAGTTCATAAGGGGGAATTATATCAAAAACCTGGTTCTTTCAGAAATTACCTCACCAGCAAAAACAGGTTTCTTTCCAAGAATGGCACAGTGCTCACAAAAACATGTGACCAGGATTTCTCTCAAATATTTGCTGTCTGTCCCTGTTCAGAGACACATTTCCCTGCTCTCTAGTGGTGTCCAGCTTCAACCCTATCTATTTTGTCCAGTTCTGACCTTCCTGCTGAAGGAAGAGCCAAAAGCTTTAGTGGATGTTACCATGGCCCTGAAGCAGGATGTGAAGTGCTTTTGACACATGACAGTTTGATATATGACAACAACTACCGCACTAAAGAATCCTTCCTCAGGCAGGTGATCTCCAGAGGGAGTCCTGGACAGCTACAGGTGGGATGAACATGAAAGAGATTCAGGTTGACTCATCAAACACAAAACCTGAACTGCAGCTCCAGTGCTGCTTTGGGTCTCACCCAACAAGGATGTGGTTCATGAGGGAGATTTATCACATCCCTGAGGGATCATGAAGTGGAGTTTATCTTCATCTCGGGTGTATTAAAAAAAACAAATCCAGAACACTGTTAAATTTCTCATTTTCTAAGATTGCACCAGTATCCACCTGATCCTTCCCAGCTGATCTCCTTCCAACCCCCCAGCAGTGCTGAGCAGCTACAGACACCGAGTCCCACTCTCCAGACTGAGCAGTGAATAAAAGCAATTTGAAAACACGCTGCTATCTCAAAATTTAACACAGGATTTGTGCACATCCAGAGCTTTTAGGCTCCTATAAATCCTACAGGCTTACTCTTATCCCCAAGGGGAAGCATGTGGAAAACCCTTACCATCACAAATCTGTCTGCACACACTCCTGTGGATTACCAGAAATAAAGCACACACAAACCTCCAACCCCAGCATCCAGCTCCCACTATTCCAGATCCCACTATTCCAACAGACAATCCTCCAAACCCTTTCCCAAACCACACTGCAACAACTCTGTGATGCTCTGAGGCTCTGCCTCACCTTCATCTCTCAGAAACACCAGCCACTTCACCTGTTCCCAAATATTCACCCACCCCACCTGCCTGAATCCTCCCCAAGCCCAGCAGCTCATCCCTGTCCCTTCACAAACCTGTGTAACTAAGGACCCATCCCACATCCATCCTGTTCCACCCACATTATACAGAACTACACCCTATCCACACCGCTCCCCTCCCCATTAGGCATCCTAAAATCCCCAAAAGAACCCCCTTGCCACGCTCTTCAGTAAACCCGGGCACCTTGACAGCAAACATACCCATGCCTTCACTCGGGCTCTGCTTTGTACTGACAAGGCCTTGCACACATCCCTCGAGCACGCAGACACCCCAAATCCATCCCGCGGCTCCCAAACCCTCACGTTATCCCTGCTCACCCCAAGCCATCCCCAACCCAACCCACACCTCCTCCTCTACACCTCAAGCACCCCAAGGAACCCCCAAACCCTATATCCAAGCCACGGGATCCCAATCCCAACACACACACATCCCCTCGCTCCCCATCACATCTCCAAAGTCCCCTCAGAGCCTTCCCAATCCCCCCGGACACCCCCAGTGCACCCCAGCGCCCTCCCAGCTCACTCCCCCCACACCCTTCCAGCCGCGCACACATCCCGGATCGCCCCGGGGACGCGGAGGGCACGGGGGCAGAGGAAGAGGATGAGGAGCAGGGTCAGTGTCCCCCTGCCCGGCCGGGACCCTCTGCCGCTCACCTCCCTTCCCCCGGTGGCCCCGCGGCCTCGGCCTCCCGCTCCGCCCGGCGCCGGCCCCGCCCGCCTCAGCAGCGAGGCACCAGCGAGGCGGCGGCGCGGAGCGGCCGCGCGGGGAGCGCCGGGACAGCGCCGGGAGGAGCGGGGAACGGGATGGGAACGGGATGGGAACGGGATGGGAACGGGATGGGAACGGGATGGGAACGGGATGGGAACGGGATGGGAGCGCCGGGACAGCGCCGGGAGGAGCGGGGAGCGGGATGGGAACGGGATGGGAACGGGATGGGAACGGGATGGGAGCGCCGGGACAGCGCCGGGGGGAGCGGGGAACGGGGAACGGGATGGGAGCACCAGGATGGGAGCACCATGGGGGGAACGGGATGGGAACGGGATGGGAGCGGGGTGGGAATGGGATGGGAGCGCCGGGACAGCGCCGGGAGGAGCGGGGAACGGGATGGGAACGGGATGGGAACGGGATGGGAACGGGATGGGAACGGGATGGGAACGGGATGGGAACGGGATGGGAGCGCCGGGACAGCGCCGGGAGGAGCGGGGAGCGGGATGGGAACGGGATGGGAACGGGATGGGAACGGGATGGGAGCGCCGGGACAGCGCCGGGGGGAGCGGGGAACGGGGAACGGGATGGGAGCACCAGGATGGGAGCACCAGGATGGGAACGGGATGGGAACGGGATGGGAACGGGATGGGAACGGGATGGGAATGGGATGGGAGCGCCGGGACAGCGCCGGGAGGAGCGGGGAACGGGATGGGAACGGGATGGGAGCGCCGGGACAGCGCCGGGGGGAGCGGGGAACGGGGAACGGGATGGGAGCACCAGGATGGGAACGGGATGGGAACGGCGGGACACCACCGGGAGGAGCGGGGAGCAGGATGGGAACGGGATGAGAACGGGATGGGAGCGGGATGGGAGCGCCGGGAGGAGCGGGGAGCGGGATGAGAACGGGATGGGAGCACCGGGAGCGGGATGGGAGCGCCGGGACAGCGCCTGGAGGAGCGGGGAACGGGATGGGAACGGGGCTAGGGGTGCCTCGGGATGGTGATGTGAGTATTGTACGGAAAATCTCGCTGGGAAAAGCCCGTGTCCATAAAGAGACAGAGGAATCCTGCAGCTTTATTCGGATAAAGGGAGAGAGGCCACTGGGGCACAGCCCGCGGGGTTTTCTCTCTCGAGGTTTCAGAGGGCGCAGCCTCCTTTTATCCCAAATTCCCACTCGTTGCCCTCTTTCTTCCCCCACTGGCCGAGGTACCAGGGAGGTGCAGCCTTCCCGAACCGCCTGACACATATATCCCCCCTCGAACATGTTATTTACCCCCCAAATTCAGAGGTCCAGGCTTCTGCGGCCCCATTTGGCTGTTTCAGCAGCCGAATTGTCTGGGCTCTGTAACAAACATGCTGCCCAAAGTTCGTGGTGACACTGAGCCCCATCCCAAAGCCATTAACAGCCGTCCCTTCACCCATGGAATTGTTTGTAAAGACATCTGCACACATCTTCCCTATCAGGGATGAGGATGGGATGGAGTTGGGGAGGAGAATGCGAATAGGGACAGGGTGTGAGTGTGGGGATAAGGCTGGAGATGGGGATGGGATGTGGGGATAGGGATGGGATGTGGGGATAGGGATGGGATGTGGGGATAGGGATGGGATGTGGGGATAGGGATGGGATGTGGGGATAGGGATGGGATGTGGGGATAGGGATGGGATGTGGGGATAGGGATGGGATGTGGAGATAGGGATGGGTTGTGGGGATAGGGATGGGATGTGGGGATAGGGATGGGATGTGGGGATAGGGATGGGATGTGGGGATAGGGATGGGATGTGGGGATAGGGATGGGATGTGGGGATAGGGATGGGATGTGGAGATAGGGATGGGATGTGGAGATAGGGATGGGTGCAGGGTTGGGGATGAGGGTGGGGATAAGCAGGGCTTGGGATATGAGGGTGAAGGTGGTGTGGGGATGAAGATAGGCATGAGGATGAGGTGCCAGGATGGGATGGGGTGCAGAAATGAGGCAGGGGATGGGGATAAGGCTGGGGATGGGGTCTGGGGGCCTTTGGGTGGAAGCACTTGTCCAGCTGAACAGTGGGAGCTGTGCTGGAACACCAGCAGGAGCCGTGGAAAAAGGAGTTTTTTCCAGTGATACAGCTGAGACACCACAGCTGGCTCACCCAGCTCTCCTGGCATCTGTGGCTGAAATCAAACTGAGCTCTGCAGCTCAGTTCTTGTCCTGGTGCTTCAAGACAGATTCGGTATCACTGTACATCCCAGG